TGTGATGAAACACTTGCAGATTTCTAAAAAAATATTATTTTAGTTTCCATCTACGCAGCAGGATTGGCTGGAAGTAGCAAATGGATTTGAACAAAAATGGCAATTTATAAACTGTGGAGGAGCTCTGGATGGCAAGCATATTCGTATTGTACCTCCTCCTCATTCAGGAGCACAATACTATAACTATAAAAATTTTTATAGTATCATTTTAATGGCTCTCGTCAATGCTGACTACGAATTTATTTTTGTCGATGTAGGCAAAAATGGAAGATTATCTGATGGAGGAGTAATTGAAAGCACCAAATTTTATCATAAGTTAATTCATGGTAAGTTGTTATACTTGTATATATGTAATTATGAATAATATAATTTTGTGGTTTTAGGCCAGTTACATCTGCCAAATAACACAGACACAGAAAATAATTTCAATTTTGTATTTTTGGGCGATGAAGCATTTTCTTTACATGAAAACTTTTTAAAACCGTATCCTCAAAGAGATCTTTCTTATAGTAAAAGAATTTTTAACTATAGACTATCACGAGCGAGAAATGTTTCGGAAAATGCATTTGGCCTGATAGCGGCAAGGTTTAGAATTCTGCATACACCAATACATATGAAGAACCCGGAAAACATCTGTTACGTTGTACTTGCTATTTGTTCTCTTCACAATTTTCTTAGGAAGCGTGATACTTCTTATACAACATCAACATCATTTGATCAAGAAAATCTGATAACTAAAGAGTTACAGGTGGGTGATTGAAGAAAAAATGCCGTTAATATGACAAAATTAGAAAGTCGTAACAAAAAAGTAGCTACCATAGCTGCGAAAACTAATCGAGATAATTATACAAGTTATTTCAATTCAGATGGAAAAGTTGATTGGCAGGATGAAATGTTGGCCAAAGGAAAAGCTTAATGTATATTTTTGTTTTTAATAAATAAGTACCTAAAAAACTTACTTGTGTATTATTTACTTCTGTTTTCTCTTGAAATTCAACTTCTTCTTCAGTAGAGTGGTTGGAATTTTCTGTTCCTTCATCTTCCATGTTACAAATGCTTTGCGTGGGTATTTCCTGATCAATAGTAAACTGGAGTAAGTCGAAATACCATAATGTGAGAGTATAAATTTCATCTGTACTAGCTCCACTTCGCTTGGATTCCTCTATCTTTTTTAATTCCTTCCGAAAAGAACCACGAAAACTTTGTATTTTCTTCACAACATAATCTCGATTTGCTTCTGGATGTAATTTTGTACAAAACTCGACTAATTTGTCGTAAGCAGCATTTTTCAAATTTCTGTTTGTATATTCTCGGGATTTGATTTTCCATAAGCATGGATAAGATTTATATATTTCAATAAACTCTGAAACAACTTCTTTCGACCAATATCGTGTATCTGCCATATTATCTACCTAACAATTAAAATAATTGAAACTTTGTATATGTATATACAATAAAATACTTACCCACGCTAGAACACAATTTACGCACAATTGCCCGCGCGAAAGTAAAATGTAATCAAACGTCTTACCTGCACGAAAATCACTAGCGACGAAAATGCGAGTTTGAACACGTCTAAAAACCGAGCGATTATTTCTCATTTACACTGGCATGCTTTCGCACACGATTGGAACGGGGCGTTCCAGTCCCGCAGGAAAGAGTGTAAATGTAAAGGTACCTAATCTATTGTACTAAAAAACGTCGCGGTGCCCCCTCAGAGATATCAATGAATGGAACTCGTATACCATGGGAGCAATCTGTCAGGTATCTTGAAGTCATCATTGACAAGGGGTTGACCTGGCAGAAACATACTGATATTTTGAAAACAAAATTCCAAATTACCTTTCAGCAGTTTTATCCTTTGTTGTGCAGAAATTCAAAATTAAGTTTGATCAACAAGATTCGGTTGTATAAAATGGTCATAAGACCCGCAATCACCTGCCCATGCGCGGCTTGATGTTTTCTTGCCAAGACTCACATGCAGAAATTGCAAGTCCTGCAAAACAGAACCCTACGCACAGATACTAACGCCCCTTGGTACGTGTCAAATGAGACCATTCACAGAGATCTTGATAACCTATATCTAAGGGATTATGTAAAACAACAGGCGCAGCAGCGTTATAATCAAGCGGAATTGCACAGCAACCCTCTGTTGCGTGCTTCAGTAGACTACACAGTCGAGCAAGTTCGCAAACATTCCTGGCGGCGCCTCGCACTGTGATCAAAATTAAATTATAAATTCTGACCAGCCAAAATTATTTCAGTATACAAAACCGATCAAAATTATTTTTTGGAGGTACAAACTAATTCGAGTAGTCAAAGCAATGATGCTTAAGCTATTTCAAATGACTTAACTTCTCTTCTTTGCTCTATTTATTCCTTCCTTTCTTTCCGTCTTTCCCTTTTCCCCTTAAACATGTTTGGTATCTGGGTAGCCAGACCTGACAGACTAACAGACTGACGAGACCTTTAACTAAGAGCAAAGAGTATATTATACCCCTGCGGATTCTCAGGTTCAGGCTAGTTGGATAAATACCTAACCCTTGCATAGTAGACAAAGTGCAGTATCGAGGGTGTATGGGCAATGTAGTAGTTTATTTGATGTGTTTATGTGATTCCCTTCTGAGACTTTCTTGGTCTATTGAAATTTATATTCCTTCAATAGTATCACCTTCCTAAGGAAGTTGGTTAGAGTAGTACGATAGGCATGTTTCTGATTTACTGATTGAAGCATTACGCCACTATACCACCCAGTAAACTATATTAATTTGTCCCCATTGCACAAAATTTGGATTGGCACTAAATCTGCTTTATCGTTCCGTATCTCTCCAAGTATAGTCTAAATTTGGCGTCTGTCGCCAAGCTCAACTTGACCATGTGACAATGTAATCTACACTTATCCATCTACAGTCTACCTAGGTCTTTCCCTGTTTGTTGCCATTTCAAATATTTCGTTAAGACTACTGCGCTTCACTTACCTAACCGTACCAAAAATCATAATCAACCGTGAGGGAACGTTAACGATTATCTTATAAACCGGATGATGAAATTACTATCAACAACTGGACAAGAAATGACAATCGGTCTTCCTTACAATTTTTTTACATGCGTGGGAATGCCTTCAATTCCTGAATTATGTAGTCGGAACTTCAAACTTCGTTTTTAAAAAACTTTATTTGGTTCCAACAATAGTGTACATGGACCGAACCGGAATTACAGTGTGTATATTCACTGTGACTGAGACTGAATGACTGACTCATAATTAAGATAAAATCGTTAATATAAACCAAAAGGGATGAGCTAGTAAAAAGGAATAAAATGCAATTATTATATCAATTAATGAAGTGTTCAATGACAGCAACATAACTCCTGGATCACTCAAACTATATACATACTGATTTTTCTCATTTTCTGAAGTTCATAAAGGTCTTCGCCAGTAGTTCGTGGAGACATAGGGTATCCCACCAATTTACCTCCTTCTACCTGTTTTTTACAACCCTTAAGGGTCGTATCGTTAGTCGTTCCTACAATTTTAAGACGCCTTTATGGCCTCCTTGATTTTCATAGTTTTCTACTCTTACGAGTCAGCGCTTTATATTGAGGTTACGTTACTAATATCTATTAGCATCAAACTGTTCATGCTTTTCATATATACTGGTATAATATCATCTGTTATATAGCCTGATATTTCCTACAATTCAAGAAGAAAACAGCCTGGAAATAGGAGAGCGCTGAGGCTGACACGGAACCGTAGAAATCTAGAAATATCTCATCCCTTCTGAAGGAGAGGTGGATACTATGAAAGTCAAGGAGGCCATAAAGGCGTCCTATAATTAAAGAAACGACTGACGATACTGCTCTCAGAAAAACGGTTTCAGACAAGAGCTTCAGTTTTACAGTTACTTGCAATGTATTTTTCTATGCAGGGTGATTCATCAAAGTGGTATCGTATAATGCCGTATTTTTTAGCCCTGTACACTCTGCATGTTTTCACACTTTAAATTAGATTTTATAACATGTGTATACTATTTTTTCTGAACGCCCATACAAAAAGTAAACTTACCCAAAAGGGGTATATCAAACGTATAACGTGTATTCGTAGCTCATAATCGGATGATGTGTCTTTGAATTATTTTGTTCTTGAAAAGGTAACCTAGACGAGAGTGTTCTTAGCTGTGATACAAGAGTATAAAGTACTTCTCAAAAAGGTCTCCCCTACTCATATTCTGAACGGGTCAAGATAGCAAGATGACATTTGGGGAGATGAAATTAAAGCCTAAGTACTATATTTTAGAGTACAAGCGGCAGGTGAAAATTTCAAGATGGTATCTGCACGCTATCTTTGAGCAATTTGTTAATTAAAATGTGGCGTCACGTGACTTCTGATTCTGAAGTTCATTATATCCATTTTTACTTCGGATTACGAAATCGCTATCTTTCTAAATGATGGATGCAGTCTGTCAATGTTGAGTGTTTGTGTTCATTGAATCGCGTATAACTCGGCAATCATTTATCAAAGCGTGATAGTATAGTACATTAATCTTTTTCTTTTGGAAGAGTGAATGTGCAATTGAATATGAGATTTTTTTTTTTAAACTGGCACATTTTAATTGTTTTTCCTAAATAGAACGTGTCAAACTTCATCACGCACTCTGATCGAATTTTTCAAGGGGATTAGATTTGTATAACGTATAGCGTTTTGATGAATGGTCCTCGAGTACAAAAGCTCTCAACTTTCGAAGCCTGACAGTACGCCATTTTGAAAGATAGCAATTCTATATTTCAGGGTTATCTTCTAGGGGAGCTGCATGTGGCCCCTGTTCTATTTAAAAAGAAATTCCAAAATGGCGACTGGGCTGTCAGTTATGTGTTAAAATATAATATTTGTGCATCAATTTCATCACCCTGAAGTCTACCTTGCTAAACTCACCCGTTGAAAAAATTAGTATAAGGAGAGCATTTTGAAAACCGGTTTTAAGTCCTTTTTTGACTTTTTCCAGGTTATATATTATCTTGGGTGTATATGCTGCTTCTTCATACGCTGCTAACCATACTGTCTTTAAGACATGTACTCAAGTCGGCGTTTGCAAGTGAGTAATAACAGCAGGTTGTCTCAAAAGTTGTTTCAATAGGTCTTAGGCCCGCATCGTCAGTCGTCCCTACAATTGTAGGGCGCGTTTATGGCCTCCTTGATTTCGGTAATATTACGGCTTCTTCGTTAACGTACATGTATGTCCTGCTTTTGATTTCCGACATACTGACAGTTCTGGCTTGAGGTTATGTTGTTGTTTTGACGTTCAATGGAAAGCAGAACCATAATTTATAATTTTCTTGCAAATAATGTCGATCACTCAAAAATACCTCGCTACATTGAACAAATTCCACAACCTGTGGTATCTTCAAGAAATTGTTGAGTTAGGAAAATTAATGCACATGGATATATTATATTATAATATTATATTTGTGTGTATCAAAGTCCAGAAGCTTACAACCAAGCTATTGTCTTGATGAAGGTTGGTAAGTTACAAAACAAATCATTGCATATCCGTATTATAATATATACTTATCGCATTATTTTCAGGTGTGATTCATTCTCACAGACTTTATGAGATGGTTCCTCCATGGATAAGAAACATTGTATAGCAAGTGCAATTATTGCATTGTCGATGTCACAGATGCTTTTTCACAAATCATTGTGGGACAAGGCACAAGTATAAGTATATAATGTGTGTAAGTGAAGATCATAATTACAATTATTGACCATCGCTATTTCAGGGTGCTCAAAATGCCATGGTCATGTAGGATTACCAAAAATGAAGTGTTACAGAGAGTAAACAGAAGAATAGACTTTCAGCATGAAGCAAAATCAGAAAAACTTCATGACAATTCCATAATTAATTACGAATGGGGAAATAAAAGAAAATTGTTACTTATCAAGGGAATTACTTTCCTGTTAAACAAACTGCAAACAATTCAAACAACTAGATAAGCGGAAAAGACCCATTATGTTGAAAATTGTAGTTACCTCAAAGTCAAACTGGGTTAAGCCCTAAGAGGTAGTTTTAAGACAGTTTCATTGCATTCATAATTGACTCATCATTACAGGTAGATAAATGTTGCAAGTATCAAATTAAAACTTTATCATGAATTTAACATGTAAGTCCCATTTTAGGCAAAAATGAACTTAACCTAACCTGGCTCTGAGGTACAGAATTTAATTTGTATTTAAACTGCTGCCTATAAATTTTGGATTTAAATCACTATCAATAATGGAGCCTTCAGCTACTGAGCCTCAAAGAACAATATGTTGTATTTATCAAATGTGTTGCACCATATATTGATGTTGTAGAATGTGGTATGTGAAGAAAAAGTGAGGACAGCTAAATACAGTTCCAATTAGTTCATTGACTTGTAATCTTAACATAAAAGGGAAAATCTACTAAAACTGTGGCATAGGATAGAAAAACATTTACTGTTTGAGAATGAAATATCAAAAACTGAACAGGTTTGATATTTGAAACACTCATATGAAGAGCAGATTTTGCTAGTTATGATAGTCACAGTAAAAAAAAAATGAAATTTTTGGCTCGAAAGTCTGCATTCATCTCTTGAAGTATTGGTAGCTGCAATTTAGTTTGTTTCCTAATTCAATGTCCATATCTAGGGGGGTGGTTTCACGTCCATCTTGAGATGAAAACTTCAAATGATCGTATATCCTAAATGTTTTAACGTTTGAAACACAGGGTGGTAAAAAAGGTCAAAAAATAAATCCTTGATTATGAATATCCGTATTACCACTTAATGAAATTTGGCATACATGTAAACGTGTTAAGTTTTTATTTTAATAGAAATCAGTTGTGTACTATCATTGTCTGCCAAAATAAGCAAGTGAAATCGGTACGAACGTCGCTGGTGGAAATCAAAAGAAAATTCATACATTAAAAATACCTCTTGATGGTATATATATGCAGAATTTTAATAAAGTATTTAAAGTGATATTACAGATCGTAACAAAAAAAATGATTAATTTTTAAAAAGCTTACGTTTCTCAAAAGTCAAGACGTTTAGGACATAATTATATGAAGTTTTCTTCTTAAACTGGAACCAAAAGTCGTCCTCTTAAATATTGACATTCAATTGGAAAACAACTTATATATTCTATGTAAGTAAATTTGATTTTATTAAAAAGGTTATTGTAAAACACTATTGTAGTTTTTCATTTTGGATATGTTTTTTTGACTATATATTTGTTCATATTTCCTGTTATTATTTGTACCTTTTAGATATAAAGACTTCAATTGATTACTGATACTTAGGTATTTCGACATACGATCTATGAATTCCTTAACAATTTCATGTATCATATTTTTCAGTTGGTACTTGCAGAATATAAATAAAAGAATACTTGGTAAAATAAATATTTTTTATTCTACATTGTATACCCACAGAAATACAATAGGTTCGTTCAAAAATATCTAGAAATATAGATTTGATCAATTTTTTATCCTTGACAACTTGATTATATGCTATTTCCTAAATCACAAGCTATGTAAACAGGGCTAAAAGGATATCTAATCAATTGCAAAGCAATCTTTCTAGTTTGGGGGTACATTAGATCATTTTGGAAAGTTAATTAACTGTAGGTATCAAACTTCTTGAAATATCCAATTTAAATACATTGACTATTCTTTTTTTCCCTCTAATAGCGTTCCTTATACTGGAGTTATTGTCTTGGAACAATATCTTGTACCCTGGGCTTATCAGGATTGGATGTTCTTTGAGCAATCCAAGTAGATCTGAAAATATAGTATTATACGTAATAGTGATTTCTTATGTTTTACTCCTAAGGACCGATATAACCATAAGTGTTAAAATATGTATTTCATATAGCATTTTTGCTAGATCACTGAATTCTTATTTAACCTATGGCATCAGTTTTGTGAGATTTTGTCAAATAGAAATGTTGATTATAATATTCAAATAGCCACTTTATCGAGTTTCATGTGACATTTTATCTCTCACACGCAACATTAACCATTAGACATTTGAGAACCCCCTTCTCAGGCATAACAAAGCTCCTCTTGAACTCAATAGCTTTTAACTTCTATGAATATACAGGCTTATGCCTACCTTTAATTTACAAATTGCAGCATAACACATGTCAGTCACAACAAGCAAATTCACTTATTCCAGTAAGGTTGGCTCCTTCGAACATGCTTTCAAGTGCATGGATGCATGAATCCATTCTTAGGAAGATCATTCGTCTCTTTATCCTTCCAAAAAGAGTTTTGTATGCAATATCACGATGGTTTATATCTGCAAAAAGATGCATAGATAAAAGTTTACACCTTGGTGTGGGCTAAAATTTTATAATTATTTTTAAGAGTTATAGTTTGAAATTTTTAGGTTAAGGTTCCCACTAATATAAAAAAATACCATATAGGGCAAGGCATGTTTAAACTCAATTTCAGAGCATTTAAACATTATACATACTTGTAGCCTGACACCATGCAATCCAAAGTCTAACAATGGTTTGTGAACAGCCATCTCCGACATCAACAATGCAGTTACACTTCGGATACGCAATGTTTCTTATCCAACATCTCATAAAGTCTGTGAGAACGAACCACATCTGAAGAAAATACGATAAGTATATATAAATATGAATATGCAATGTTTAAAAATTTTGTAACTTACCAGCTTCATCAAGGAACAGCTTTGTTGTAAGCTGTTAGGCAAATATATATAAATACATATCCATTTGCATTAAATTGTTGATTTTAGATCATTAATACCAGATATGGGACTTGAAGATACCACAGCCTGACGAATTTGTTCAATGTAGGAAATTATTATTGAATGATCAACATTATTTGCAAGAAAATATCCTTCGGCAGCAAAAAAGAAACATAACCTAACATCACAGTTGACTTCTGATTGACAGCAGACTAGAAATGTAAAGCAGGACATACATGTACCTTAACGGCTATAAACGCGTCCTACAATAATTGTATGGACGACTGACGATACGGGCCTTAGAAGAAGACTTACTTGTTTAAAAAACAGTTGATATTATCCAAGGTTCAACAGTGTATCTGTACTGCCGATATGTTTTCTCTTCTGTGTTGATGAAGCCAATAAGCATAACTATAACAAGGTGGTCCAGAAAACAGTGGCCATAGTTGTAGGGCAGACAGTAGATCCAAAAGTAACAGGAAAAGTACAAGGGCTGAAAGATGCCACCCTATCGAGATACAGGGTGTTGAAGTTATAATTTCGATTTCAACAAAATTCTTCTGAGTGGATTGAAGTATTGACTTAATATTTTGTACCTATTCTGTTTGGCACAAGATAGCCCTTCAGTGAAAAAAGTTAGCTGCGAACATGTATAACAAAAAATTAAATGACCTTACCTACTCCCCCTGAGAGGAGTTGCTGCAGGCGCACATGATCGTTGCGATGATCAATCCTGCGAGAAGAATTGAAGTCGGGTATTCCCATCTTGTTTTAGTGATCTTTAGGCAGTATTATGTTTTATCCTTATTTAGTCTAACCAGTTGCACATAATGTTACAATACCCTGTATCTCGGTAATGAGATATTTTACAATCTGTGTTCCTCCATGTTCCATAAATAAATTTAAAAAACACACTCAGTCAACTTCACCAACAAGTAATAATTAACATATCAGAATCTCAATGAACTTTAAATGGTTCTACTGTAAAACTAGTTTTTTCGCATTGTGTCAGTATTGTATTAAAGGTGCGATATATAATAATAGTAAAATTCATCATAGAATTAATAATATGTGAAATTAATTATGTAATTTTTTCAGTCGCTTGAGGGATATGCCTTCAACTGCACAATGGACATACATAAAACACAATGTTAATGGTGATAACACTTTAGTTACTGTTAAGCTAGAAATACAGAAGAAGACATATTCACTCTTTATTGGGCTATTGGAGAACCACAAAGTGCGCCTTCAACTAAAAGACACAAGTCGGGGAGCAAAAAAGAGACATGAAATAAAAGATGTGTTATATCCGGATATACCAAAATCAATTAGGTGAGTATATTATAGCAAATCAGATTACTAATTTATCGATTACTCAAGAAATTAATGATCTGAAACTAGGTAATCAAATATAATAAAAATCAACATTCGCTTATCTTGGTCAATTTTCAGCAAGGACCATGTAACACGCCTATGGGAAAATAATTTTTCTGATATGCATCTCGGCGTCCTTAACATCGTAATTGGCCCCGAAACACAATGCATCCCAAGACATAGCCAGCCTAAATTAGTATAAGGGGGTAACGGACCTACGCTGCTATCTGCTTTATGTGGAAAAGTAGTTACTCTTAATTTCGCTGATTTCCTTTATACAGGGTGACTTTGAAGTTGAGTCATTAATTTTCAGATAATGATTGTAGAAGGAAGATAAACCAAAATATGTGTGTAAAAATAAAAAAAAAATAAAAAAAAATGTTACCTTGTTTTATAAAGTATCCTCCCGACAAGTATTTCAGTGCTGACCTGTATTTGATCGTGCGGTCTTGGAGCACCGTGATGCCGCGTAAATAAGAATCATGTCCACAATTTCAGCATTTTCGTAAACATGTGCCATTTTTGATTTCGTTTGAGCCACGCAACAGACACCACTATTCACTCACGTGTTACCGACTGACACTGACTGTATATAACCGAATAAAATAATTGTAAAAACATCGTTCCAAATTCTTTCGCTTTTTTGTTTCCGATGCGATGAACCGATAAGGCGGATTATATCCGTTGTTGCCAAACACACGAGCACATAATATTATTATTGAGACAGGGCGGTACTCAAACTTCCAAAGGGCTATAACTTTGTTACTTTAATTTTACCAGAAAAATGGTAAAGGGAAAAAACATTTCTTTTGATCAGATCTACTCACTGTTAAAATAAATGACTCAACTTCGAAGTATATCATGCGTCTCGGCGTTCTTAACAGATATCTCAATGCGTCCCAAGATATTGGTCGTTCAAGTCAGTATAATAGAGTGTCCATTTTACTCAGCTATCTGCTCTGTCCTTAACAAATGTCGCAAAGGGTAGAAGCCACAAGACTCCACAAGTCTCAAGATATAGGCCGTCCAAGTACCATGGGGTACCGGTTCTACTCGAATGTATGCTTTGGGCGGAAGAGTGATTTTGGATAATTTTAGTGATTTTTTTGTGTTGTACCTCGACGTCCTGAACAAATTTCCTAATGAGCACAGGCCCTAAATCTCAACAGGTCCCAAGATGTACAGGGTGATTCAGAAGTCGTAACCAAAACTGAAACATAATACAGAGGATCGCGTTTTAAGGGGGGTCTTCTATGTAACATTTTTCCCCTCACGGGCTTCATTAAAACGATACGTAGTGTTGAAGTTTAAAAAATAAAAATCAATTTTGTTTAATATCTTCAAAGCCGTCAACTGGACTGAACTAAATTTTGGTATGTAGATTTACCTAAGTATTGTCCACATTCAAAAGGCTTTACTTAAATTTAACGTGCACTAGTGACGGACATACAGGGAATTAGTGGCATTATTTCTCAAAATAAAAATAGTACGTCACTGTTTTTTCCAAAACGTGCAATTTTCGAATTTTATTTTCAATTTGCTACAAATAATTAATAATAATAATAAATTGCTTTTATTGCTCATGTAAGTACAGATAAAGAAAAAGTACATAAATCTGATGCAAGGTTCGCTTGATTGACAACCATTAGTTGTCAATCCGCGCTCTTCCACCTAACCAAAAAAAAGGTTGTATATCGGTAATAATAATAACAGCAAGAGAAAAGTTAAACGTTAACACAGATACATATAGGCATATTATGTTTTAAAACTATATATTATATTATACATCCATAGATGACATATAACGTAAGTGTTGCAGGCACCTTGGTAAAACCTATAATATAAAACGAGTTGATGCTTGAATGAGATTGCTAGAAGTTGTAGTTAATATCTTATGAAGGTAAAATGTCAAAGATCAAACGAAAAAGACATACAGAAGAATAATTGGCAAATCAGCGTGCAGTGTTAAATTTAAGTAATCTCAAGTCTCAACATAGTCTTCACTTCTCGCTTAAATCTCAAAATTGATAGGGCTTTGATTCTATCAGGCAGCAAGTTGTAAACCTTAACTATGTCATATGAAAAAGAGCACTTATAATTTGAAGTTTAAAATTTAGGTAGTGAGAGATGATGTTTAAACCTCGTGTTACGACTATGCACTTCTGTACGGGTCTTGATCTTCTTGTAAAGATAGGATGGTCATTCAGTATTGAGTATCTTGTGGTATAGTACGGATCGAAGAAGGAACCTTGATTTCTCTATATTGAGCCAACCTAAGTTCTTTAAGTGAAGAGATATCGGCTGCCGCCTTCTAATACCACTAACAAACCTGACACAAGAATTTTGAATACGCTGAAGGCGCGCCTTATCTCGATGTAGCAATGACGGGCCGTACGCGCAGTCTGCATAGCTGAGGTGAGAAAGAACTAAAGACTCGCACAATATTATTTTTGTTGTCTTGGTTATTATGCTTCTGCTATTGTATAGCAGTTTCAATGATGAGAATGCCCTTTTGGTTATAAGAGAGACATACTGGGAAAAGCGTAGATCTGTATCTATAAGAACCTCTAAATTTTTAGCGGAGTTTGTAAAAGTTATTTTGTCTTGTCCGAAATAAATATCTAAATTATTGGAGTATAGTTCACGATTCTTTTTTTACCAAATAGTAGAGCCTTAGATTTAGTGGCGTTGACGGAGAGACAATATCTTTTTGTTAGCTGATAAAGAACCTGAAGGTCCTCATTTATGTTAATTAAAGTTCGGTTTATATCTGATTCATTAAAAGCAACATATATACTAAGTGACATATAAATCCGCACACCCAGTTTAAATGGTTTTATTTTAATAAAAGTTGGTGAATGTATTTATCTTACTGTACATAACAAGTGAAAAAATTTTCAGCCTTATCAGTTGGACATTCCGGTTTTTATACTGCTTTTTTTTAATTCACTAACGCTCTAAAAATGAATATTTCAGCCGCAGTAAAGAATCAACGTTGGCGGATTTTGGTTCTTGACATCCTTTACGATCGGTTACGATGCCTAGAGTACGGAGACCTGTACGATTTCGTCAACTTAGTGAGTTTGATAGGGGCCGTATAGTGGGACTTCGGGAAGCTGGACTTTCTTTTCGGGCAATTGCAGTTAGAGTGCAAAGAAGTGTAGACACTGTGGTTAGGTGTTGTCAGGCATGGCTTCGAGAAGGCCGTACGCAAAGAGCAAGGGGCACTGGACGCCGCCGTAGAACAACAGACCGTGAAGATCGCTGCCTAAGATTATTGGCCTTAAGGGACCGTTTCTCCACTACCAGGTCCATTGCAAATGAATGGTTTGCAGAACACGGATGGCGAAGTGTTTACCGACGAATGAGAAGTTTTGGCTTGTTTTCATACCGGCCACACTGGGTCCTCCCTTTAACTCGAGAACACCGACGTAATCGCCTTGAGTGGTGCAGAAAACGGTCACTCTGGGATTAGGAATGGAACAGTATTGTCTTTAGTGACGAGTCTCGATTTTGTTTAGGCATGCACGATGGTCGTGCCAGGGTTAGAAGGCAACGTGGTGAAAGGAGGAATCCACAGTTTTTTGTTGAAAGACATGTTCATCACACTGTTGGAGTTATGGTTTGGGGTGCTATAGCTTATGGTTCCAGGTCACCTTTAACCTTCATCAGAGGTAACCTGAACGCGCAGCGTTATATCCACGAAGTTCTAGAACCCCATCTTTTACCCTATCTTGACACCTTGACAGATCCAACTTTCCAACAAGATAATGCCCGACCACATGTTGCAAGAGTCACAATAGACTTCTTTCAACATAATGATGTCACATTGTTACCATGGCCACCAAGGTCTCCCGACTTATCCCCAATTGAGCACGTGTGGGATATGATGGGTAGGAGATTGCTCGATTTGCAACGTCCTCCTCAGACTCTAGAAGCACTTCGAGAAGAGTTGGTGGTTGCCTGGAATGAGTTACCACAGGAGGACATTGACCACCTGATCAGAAACATTCCTAGGCGCGTTGGAGAATGCGTAGCACATCAGGGTGCATCCACACATTATTAAAGGTCAAAGGGCTTTAAAGCAGTGCAATTATTTTGAAATGTTTATCATTTACTTATTATGCTTCATTAAGTGCTTATACAAAATTTTATTAAAATAAAACCATTTAAACTGGGTGTTCGGATTTATATGTCACTTAGTATAATTGAGTGTCATCGCCGTAATAGTGATATGAGACGTGTTTAAAACTTTTGTGCAGCTGAGAGGTATTCAGAGTGTACAAGAGTGGACCTAAAACAGATCCTTGAGGTACACCTCGACAAGCGTTAGACAATTCGGATGTTTCACCAAAGCATTTGACAACTTGTGCCCAATCTTTGAGGTAATTTCTTAATAAATGAACCGCACCTTTGGAAAAACCCAAGTAGTGAAGAACCGCAATCAGTAGATCATAGCTTAGCTTATCAAAAGCCTTCGAAAAATCTAATAAGATTAAGATGCATAGGTTGCCATCATCAATGTATTTGCGGATATCGTCTGTTACTTTGAGCAAGGCTGTTGTGCAACTGTGACCTGATCTGAATCCTGATTGATTTTCTGGAAGATTGTCATTTTTAGCAACAAAGTCCCTCATTCTAGCATCCAGAATCATTTCGAAGACCTTTGATGGAGTTCATAGGATGCTGATGGGTCGAAGGTCTTCCACATCTTCAGGGTTGCTCTTATTTTGGTATGGGAATTACTTGTGCAAGCTTCCAAATTTTGGGTATTACATTGAATTTTAGACAATAATTAAAAATATGCGTAAAATTATAGGACAGCTGTACAGCAGCATGCTGATACTTTTACCGTCGGCACCAATGGCTGCTGATTTCACTGAAAGCAATTTTTGATATACTTCATTGTCATTCGTGTACGAAAACTCAAATGCTTCATGAGGGAGTTGCGTATCGGT